ACAAAGGTCCAGAAACCAAGGACTGGGGGTGGGGGCAGGGGGGTGAGGGGGTGGGTGGAGGGTGGCCACTCTCACTATTACTTTTCTCTTTAAAAATATTTGCTTCCCAATACCCAAGTCACTCGTGCGCTGTAGACATAATGGTCCAAGGCGAGGTGTCACCAGGGAACCTAATAAGGGTTCCACCTGGCCATCTGGGACTCCTCCCCCGACTAGGGCAATGGAATAAAAGGGTGTTCCTGTGCTAGCCTGCTACCCTGATTATGAAGGGGAAGTGGGGTTGTTACTCTCTGATAGGGCCTGGGAGGGAGGTGGTTGCCTCCTTGTACCACCACACCCAGTGGCACAAATTAACAGAAAACCATCACAATCCATATAAATGTACTAACTTTCCTCCCCCACTATTGTATACATCAGAGTTTGGTGGGAGCTAAGTCTACCAATTTGTTCGAGGTTTCAGAATAGTAAGAACTAACCCTGGGCGACCGAGAAATATAGGAGGAATGGGCAGCACGTTGCAACAGTGAATTCTGAAACTTAGAAGGAACGTTTAAGGTGGTCTGAGATGTCACATCCGTTTTATCTGGATGTGGTTTGATGTTGCCTCCTTTTAGGACACCAAAGTACATCTGTGGCTGTGATAACTAGAGAGGTGGAACAAAGTAACACATGGGGGTGCCCAGGGCTTAGTTCTGGGCCCTCTTCTGTCTACATGCTGCACCTAAGCAACCTCATCCAGTCCCATAGCTTTAAATAACTCCTGGTTATTAACTCCAAAACAGACATGTCCAGCTCAAGCCTCGCCTACAAATTCAGACTATATATCCACCTGCCTCCTTGATCAGCTCTTTGGAGGCCTCATAAGGATCTCAAATCAACATGTCCAAGGCAAAACTACTGATTTCTGGCTATCAGCATCCACTTAGCTGCTGCTGCTACAGTCTCCCTCTTTTTTAAATAAATGGCCCCATAAGCCACCCAGTTGCTCAAAACAAAAATCTAAATCTACCCTTGTCCAATATGGTAGCCTTTAACCACATGTGGCTATTTAAATTTAAATTTATTATTATTTTTAAAGATTTTATTTATTTATTTGACAGAGAGAGACAGCGACAGAGGGAACACAAGCAGGGGGAGTGGGAGAGGGAGAAGCAGGCTTCCCGCAGAGCAGGGAGCCCGAGGTGGGGCTCAATCCCAGGACCCTGGGATCATGACCTGAGCCGAAGGCAGACACCCCATGACTGAGCCACCCAGGTGCCCCAAGATTTTATTTATTTATTTGACAGAGAGAGAGACAGCGAGAGAGGGAACACAAGCAGGGGGAGTAGGAGAAGCAGAAGCAGGCTTCCTGAGGAGCAGGGAGCGGGATGCAGGGCTCGATCCCAGGACCCTGGGATCATGACCAGAGCCGAAGGCAGATGCTTAACGACTGAGCCACCCAGGTGCCTCTAAATTTAAATTTAAGTTAATTAAAATTAAATTAAATTAAAATTTCGGGTTTGCAGTTTTAGTAGCCATATTTCAAGTGCTCAATAGCCAGTAGCCACCATACTGGACAGTCAGATACAGAGCATTTCCACGATCACAGAGTGTTCTGTTGGACAGTGCTTCTCTAGCAAGGTTGCCAGTGATTCCTCTTTCCCTCACCGCCACATATAATCCATTAACAAATCCTATGGATTTTACCTCCAAAACATTCCCTGAATCAATCCATCTCTCTCCAACCCATTCCTACCACCCTGGTCTATGCCACCATCACCTTCCACCTGGACTGCTGAACTCACTTCTTGGTTGCCTTAGTTCCAATCTTCCCCACCTATAACCATTTCCTCTATAGCAGACAGAATAATTTGTTTTTCAGGACCTAAAATCAGATATCATGCCTTGCCCCTGCTACAATTCTTCCAATGACTTCTGTGGCAGAGACTGTAGTTTTACCTTTATGTCCTTTCTTTCCTTCTGCCTCAATGACAGAACCTCTGAAGTTTAGGTGAGCACACAGAAGCCCAAAATAAAGAGCACATTCTCCAGAGTCCCTCCTTGCACTTAGGTGTGGTCATGTGACTGAGTTCTGACCAGAGAGAGCCAATGAGGTTGTGTGCAGTCTCCTGGCATGTCTTTAAAAAGAGAAGGCTCCTCCTGCTGCTGTAACAGGCATGATGGCTGAAGCTGGAATAGATCACAAGGTGAACTTGGGAGCGGAGATAATGCCCTGTGATCAACAAGATAGAAGGAGCCTGGTTCCCTGAGATAGTGGAGAAACCCACCAGCCCTGAAACGCCTACCTAGATTTTTACATGAGAGAGAAATAAACTTCATTTTGTTTAAGCCCCAATTACTTGAGGTTTTCTGTCATAGTAGGACCTAATTCTAACTAATACAGCTTTCCATCACACTTAGAAGAAAACCCAAACTCCTTACAAAAGCCTGGAAGGTTCTACACGATCGGTTCCCACTCCAGTACAATCCCCTCCATTCTCCCCTCACTCACCATGCTCCAGTCACTCTGGCTTTCTTTTTTGCTGCTTCAAAACACCAAGTTTCTTCATGCTTTAGGGACTTTGCACTTGCTTTTCCCTCCGTTTGGGTTGCTCCTCCTCAGATCTTCTCATGGCTGACTCCTTTTAGTTATTCAGGTCTCACCTTAAATATCACTGAGAGACATCATTAGAGATGGTTACCCTGACCAATCTGAAATACCCAACAAGTCACTCTCCTTTACAATACCTTATTTTAATTCTCTGCATAGGACTTATCACTAACTGATGATTCTCTCTTTTATCGTCTGCCTCCCCCTCCTAGCTTGTAAGCTCCACGAGGATAGGACTTTTTTTTTTTTTTAAGATTTTATTTATTTATTTATTTGACAGAGAGAGACACAGCGAGAGAGGGAACACAAGCAGGGGGAGTGGGAGAGGGAGAAGCAGGCTTCCCGCGGAGCAGGGAGCCCGATGTGGGGCTCGATCCCAGGACCCTGGGATCATGACCTGAGCTGAAGGCAGACGCTTAACGACTGAGCCACCCAGGCGCCCCGAGGATAGGACTTTTTGATTGTTTGGTTTACTGCTGGACTTCCCCTCTCTAGAACAGTGCCTGAAACCAATTAGAAATTCAATACGTGTTTGTCAAATACTATTCCACGGATAGTGTGGTTAAAAGCAGGGTTTCTAAAGTCAGACGACCCACATCAGAATCCTGGCTGGGCCATGTACCAGTGGTGTGACCTACCACAAGTCGTGTAACCTAAATTCTCTGTAGAATGAAATTTCCCGTGGCACAGGGTAGGAGTAAACGAAAGAGCATTTATAAAGCACTCCCTCTCCTTCCTCCCTTCCTCTGAGAGCTCCCTTTTTTCCCTCTTCCCTCCGCCCCGTCCCTCCTATGGCCACTTCTCTTCTGCTTTTCGTACCTCTCTGCACAGTCTAGCGAAGACTGGGCCTTTGAAATTTGGCGGGAATTAACGTCATCATTCAGGAGGACAAGGGCTGCGCACGCGCGAGACACCTACTCTTGCTCGCGCGCTAACTTTGCAGCCTAGACAGCCAATCAGAGTTAGCGTCGGAGCCCGTGTTCCGAGGACTCACCAATCGAATCTGGGAGGCGGGCCGCCATGGAGGCAGTGGCGAGAGGGGGCGGGGACAGGGAGAGGGCACGCACAGTTCTCGCGGCAGTGTCTCTGCGGGCCAATGGGAGAGGCCTGAGGGTGAAGGCGGTGGGGCGTGGCATTGGCGGCTCCCGCAACTCAAGGCCGTCCAATGTCGAGCCAATCAGAGTGGGGAGGTGGGAGGAGATTAACCAATCAGCGTGCAGAATAGGCAAGGCAAGGGGTTGAGGAGTCTCTCGCGGACGTCGCTGGCTTCCTGGCTTCTGTCAGGGGAGCCCGGCGTGCGGAGGAGGCAGAGGAGGCGGGAAGGCGGCTGTGGTTGAAGGGACAATTGCTGACTTGCGGGGAGGAGGTCCGAGGGAGCGGGCAACCATGGTGATGGCGGCGAAGAAGGGTCCAGGCCCGGGTGGCGGGGTCAGCGGGGGCAAGGCGGAGGCGGAGGCGGCCTCGGAGGTGTGGTGTCGCCGGGTGCGGGAGCTGGGCGGCTGCAGCCAGGCGGGGAACCGCCACTGCTTCGAGTGCGCCCAGCGCGGGGTCACCTACGTGGATATCACCGTGGGCAGCTTCGTCTGCACCACCTGCTCCGGCCTCCTGTGAGTGGACTGGCGCGGGGTAGGAGAGGGGGGAGGACCGGGAAGGGGCTGCGGAGTATCGGCGTTGGGGACAGCGGGGATCCGGGGCGAAGGGAACGGAGCCGAGGTAGGGGCGGCGGGGAGGCCTGGGGACGCGCCTGATGCGCTGAGAGGGTCGTCTGCTGCAGAGCTGTCATGGGGAAGGGAATTTGGCAGAGGAGACAAGACGCGATTGGAGTCGCGTTGCAGGGGAAAGGAAGGGCACCGGGGAAGAAGGGAGAAACTCCCGAAGGGAAGGGAGGCAAAACGAACCGAACCGAAAGTGGGGGAGAGTTGAAGGGAACGGGGGGGGGCGGTTAAGATTTAAAGGGCCGGAGAATGACACACACCTTGAAAGGGAACTCTATGTAGCTGCGGGGCAGATAGGAAAGGGGTAGAGTAAACTGGGCTCTAGATGAAGGTGTACTTCTTCTGGCTTGTGCCCATCCTAGAGTGTGAGATAGAGAAACCAATTTAAAATAGGTAAGTTAACTCAGGTTGACAGCATAGAGATTGTGACAGGTAAGGAGCCCTGTTCCAGCGTTCGGGTGCAGGTCCTAATGTTGCAGGGCTTTGGAGTGTAACCCAGAGGTAGATTTCTTACAAGTCTTAAGAGATGAGAGCTGATGGGTTACCGTGTTAGAGAGCTTAACTTTTCCAAAGGTTTGGGGATCTGGATGAGCCATCCTTAAGTGTAATAGTTTACACCTTTAAGCTTCTTGTTGCCACGGCTTGGTCCTGGTAGTAGCATCTGGCAGCTCTTTCTAGATTTGGGGGAGTTTTGTTGTATAATCTGCAATGCTACACTTGGCACTGGCACTGTATTTGGTCATGCCTGAGCTAATTTAGAGCCACAGTTCTAGGCCAGATTTCTGGTGATAGAGTAAGGTTCTTTTTCCCCGTAGGGAATTATTTGGTTAGATGCCTGATTAACATTCGCTACCAACCCTGTATCTCTTCTGTATAAGTTCATCAAGAGCTTTATTTTGACTTGTTTAGTATTGTTTTAACATACTGGTTTGTCTGGTTGGTTGGTTTTGTATTTAACAAGAGGTGTTTTCCTTGTTTCTTCTTACACCTTTAGGAGCCAAGGAGGGAGCAGTATTGTTCTTACATGACAGATGGGAGAACAGAAGCAAAGAGAGGTTTACCAGTGCCATATGGGGTTGCTGTTTTCAGCATTTGTTATTGGATATTAGTTATGATCACGTCAGACCAGAAATGAAGATCCAGGTCTCCTAAGATACAGTGTAGGATTATCTCTCTACAAGATTTTTACCTCCTTTGCCAAACTTCTGTGTTCTGATCAACCTCACTTGTGTGTTATGACTTTGGCCTAAGTAAAAGCTATTATGGCTCTTGGGACAATGATTAGAACCCAAACAGGAATGTGTCAAAAGGTAGAGACTTAAATAAAGCAAAAAGGTAGAACTGAGACTGGGACAAATACTCTGAGGAGAAAAGGAGCAAAGTTTAGGACTATTTATAGCAGAAAGAGAAAGAACAGATTCCTGAAGATCCTGTTATGAAGAGGAAAATCTGATTATTGCTCCCAGAGTCTGGGAGCAGGGGGATAAAATTGATGGCATATCAGAGTCTAGGTCCTAGGAAGAAAATGCTTGGAAACAGTGTTAATTCATCCCCATGGTTAGCTGCACAGCACAAAAGATAAAACACTGACTAAATGGGAGGGCTGACACTATTATTATTATTTTATAGATCTTGGTTTAAAGTATCCCATAGATAACATTTCCCTTCTATAATGAATATCCCTCAATCAGGACAAAAGGAGGGTCAAGGGATCTGGCACACATTAAAAACCTGATTTCTTTTGCTAGAACAGTTAACTCCTTAAATATCAGGGCACAGTTTACAGAACTTGACTACTTTTTCCCCGTGCTCATTATTGTTGGTCTTTAGTGAAGGATCAAAAGGCCGGGCCACTAAATGAAGCTGAACTGAAGGCATGTTGACATTATAAGGAGAGAAATATCAGAGGAAACTCTAGAAGAAAGCTGTAGTTTCCCTGGCTGTGTTTGTCTGCCTAAGTTCTGGTGGTACTTCTCATGTGCTAATTGAAGTTCTAATTAGCATGAGCTAAGTAGGGCAAGGCATAGGAACCTTATAAAAGGGTCTTCACAAAGTATTGCCTGTGTCCTCTGATGGACCTTGGGAAAGTCTGGGAGTGGGCGGGTGGGCCGTAAACAGAGGGTGTGAGGTGAGGGAGGCTTACTGCTGGCTGCAGAGTAAAGGGGGAGCACACACAGTTCAGCAGGCAATGGAGGGGCATGGCTCAGGGTGACACATAGACCAAGTAACATCTTAAATCCGCATGGTTGATTGCCCACAGATTAGGATTTCGTGGTACTGGGAAGTGAAAATCACGGTAGGCCAAGAGGCTGCACGTTCATTCAGTCAATCTGTCAACATACATTTATTGAGTGTCTCTCAAGCTCCAAACACGGTCTTAGGCACTGGAGATATGGCAGTGCACAAAATTGTACCCATCTGCATGTAGCTTACACCACAGTGGAAGCCATGGACCTTAAATCAATCATTAAATATATAATTGCCGGTGATTATAAGTGCTGAGAAGTAAAATAAAGCTTAGCATGGGCTGGAGAGTGATGGGAACTCATGTTGAGGTATGATGATGAAAAGAAGAAATATTCTTTGTTTAAAGGACGAGGGTATTGGGGCGCCTGGGTGGCTCAGTCAGTTAAGCATCTGCCTTTGGCTCAGTTATGATCCCTGAGTCCTGGGACCGAGCCCCGTGTTGGGCTCCCTGCTCATCAGGGAGCCTGCTTCTCCCTCTCCCTCTGCCGTTCCCCCCTGCTTGTGCTCTCTCTCTCTTTCAAATCAATAAATAAAACCTTAAAAAAAAAAAAAAAGACGTGGAGCGCCTGGGTGGCTCAGTCAGTTAAGCGTCTGCCTTCGGCTCAGGTCATGATCTCAGGGTGATGGAGCCCCACATCGGGCTCTCTGCTCAGCGGGAAGCCTGCTTCTCCCTCTGCTTGCTGCTCCCCCTGCTTATGCTCCTGCTCTCGCTATCTCTCTCTGTCAAATAAATAAATAAAATCCTTAAAAATAAAAAAAAAAATCTCTCTTAAAACAAAAAAAAAGGATGAGGGTATTGAGGGGGGCAAGAATTCAAGTACCACACTTAGCACCATAGCCAGAGAAAGGAGACAGCAAGACTGGCTTTATTTTGAAAGCCAGCTTTCTGCTGAGGATGTTACAAATATGTCCACCTCTCAGGGGAGTGGGGTGTTCTGGGGGCAGTGAGCACAATTACCAGAGTTCCTAGCTGGCTGCACAGGCTTATACTGCAAAGTTGACTGTTGCAGCCAAAGTTGAATTTCCCAAGATCTGGAGAAAATTTTCGATTTTAATACTGGTGGGTGGGTATGACTATGGGTTCATCACTACATGTGAGAGCTCATTCTCATTTTCTTTTTTCATGAGAAATATTTTCTCAGCTCTAGCAGAAAACCACAGCGTTGGTGTGAGGGACTGAGAGAGAAGCTGCTAGTTTTGGCTGTTTCTAAATTTATATACATGCTGCCACAATTGTAGGTCCCAAATTTGACCTAGTTTTATTCATTTGGTTTTCGTCCAATACCTAGTTTCCTTAACCCGGATATAGGTCCTTTTCATTTCCCCAGCATATATATCCGCCTGTTTGGTTGTGTCTGACTCTTCTACTAGAGAGCAAAGCTAGGGCAGGGTAAAGATTGCTGCTAAAAAGTGCTTTTTCCAAAGCAGTGCCTTCAGTGTTTTTTCTTCTTCTGGTTTGCCTGGATGCCTCAATGGATAAACCAAGTTTCTTTAGTAAGAAAATAGATCTTGAGGCCTGAAATGTCATTGACATCAGGGATGGGCACTGTCTTTGACACCCAGTTTTTGGTGTTTTTTGTTTGTTGTTTTTTCAGTAAAGTCTGTGGCATGCTTCCCTAACCTGGCTGTTTGGGTCCACCTTTTTTTTTTTTTTAAGATTTTATTTATTCATGAAAGACAGAGAGAGAGAGAGGGAGAGAGAGAGAAGCAGAGGGAGAAGCAGGCTCCCAAGGAGCAGGGAGCCCGATGTGGGACTCAATCCCAGGACCCTGGGATCATGACCTGAGCCGAAGGCAGACGCTTAACCATCTGAGCCACCCAGGCGCCCTGTTTGGGTCCATCTTTAATCCATTGTCCTTTGGAACTCAGTAATAGATACTTGTCTCCTCTACTTCTGCACAACTTTATTCCAATAGTGGGATTAAGTCAGGATTCGGGTGGACAGAGCTCTGGGCTGGGTGCCAGGAGATATGCTTGACAGCTCTTTCTTTGTGACAAGTTCCTAACCTCCCGGTGCCTTAGTTTCCCCATCTGGCTTTGCTCGTAGCGGTTCCTCATTAAGCACTTTTATCTCCATGGAAGAAAAGGCATAGTGTGTTGTTCAATAATTCAGTACTTTTCCATCTGTCTGGGTTAGAGAAGTAGATGTGTCCCTTGCCCCTGTGTTAGTCCCGTCCCTCTGTCCCCTCCCACCTCACCTTTTATCCAAAGACATGAGAAGAAGGGGAAAAAATGTAAAAGGATTGAGAATGAGCCTGAAGAGGAAGGCAGAGGACAGCAGTTTATCATTGTCACTAAGGAAGAACTACAGGAAATGGGTTGAAGCAGGGATTTTCGATGAGGAAGAAAATTAAAAACAAGGGGCTCTTGTTTCACTAAATTTAGTGAAATTGAGCCTGGAGCAGGGTAAGTGGTGAGCTCTCCTATTAGGGACTAGAAAGAGTCTCTAATAGGGACTATTTTGGTGATGTTTGGATCCAAGATAAGAGCCAACGTGGCTTAGCTGAACCCCGCTCAAAGGCAGAGGACTGGAATCCCAGGAGCAAAGAAACCCCACGTGGGGGGTATGAATCCGAACACGAAATATTCAGAAGTCAGGAATTCCCAAGTCCAAGTTTGGCACAAAGGAAAGAACTTGGGTGCCGGGTAAAACTGTTTTTTTCCATTGTTGACCTGACAACTTTCTTATCTGAGCAGCTGAGCAGGTTTGAGACTTTCATGAAGCAAGACAGAAGCAAAATATGGGCCGTTGTGAGGGTGATGACCACAGAAAAACAAAAGGTGTGGTATTTGTAAAAATAGTCCTACACTTGATAGCATCAAAGGCAGGGGGGAGAGAGGCAGGGAGAGTGAATTGGGCGGGCTTTAGGGTCCCTGCAGGTCGCTGCACTGCCAGTAATTCAGGGCACTTCCAAGAGGGATGCAGAGTACTTCAAATGCCAGTCAGGTGCTCCGGGAAACAGAAACCGAAGTCGAACCCCTCCCGACTGGGCTGAGGCCCGAGTCCTAGTAATGAACTTGCTTTCAGTTGGAAACAGTTGCCCTATTCTGGGCAAATACATTTATGTCTCTGCGTGTCCCCAGCACCTCCTGGTTAGAAATAACATTTGCTGTGATAACCTAAGGGCAGTGTCTCCTTCTAGCTCTCACTTCTTTGGGGGAGAACCTGCGAGTCGTGTTGGGGAGACTGGGTGCAGCTTGGAGACTTGGGTTTGTTTGATTCCAGGCCAGTAACTCAGATCTGGCCCCTCGCATGACCCTGCTATGTCCCCAGCTAGCCTCAATACCCCTCGACCATTAGATTCAGCTACTGGGAGGAGAGGGGCTCTTGTTTCTAAATTGCTCCTGTCAGCCAGCAATGGCCTCTCTCTGATTCAGAAACAAAACGCTCTGACTCATAGGCCATGTAACTAGGTCCTCTTCCTGGGCTGCAGAATGTTGCCTTGTAGAGAATTTTCCCTGCCCCCAAACTGTGGCTCTAGTTATACATAATCCAGTCTACAGACATCAAGGTCAGAGCAATGCTTTTTGTACTGTGCTATGGAAACATCCTGTTCCCTCAGATTCATTTGTCCCAAAGCACCTAAATAACTTATTTTCTCTGCTTTCCCTTCATCCTATCTTCCACAACCCCCCCCCCAAAAAACCCCTCCAGTCCAAGCTCAGCCATAGAAAGTTCTGTTGTTCTAATCATCCCCTCTAGACTGATGAATGGGTCAAGTCCCTCCCCCTCCCCCTAGGAGGAAGCACACCTCCTTGTTTACACTTTGCTAACAGTTCCTGGTTGTCCTGTCAGGAAATGTCAATGACCTTTTTATGACAGACTTTGAATCTGTTTTTCTAGTGTTAACATAATACATTTTACGTTTGCCATGACCATGTCTCTTCCTTCCCCCACTGCTGCATCCTGGTGCCACATTCTCCCTGATCCGGCTCTGTGTGTGCCTACATGGCACCCAACTGTGTCGGGAATTATCTTTGTCCAGGCTCCTGGGGTCATTGTAAGAAATCACCAGGTGATCAAGAACTAGGCCCTACATGACAAGTGATATATATGATATAGAGTGATAAGCAACTGTCTATTGTATCCCCCAAAGTGCCTACCATCATGCCTTGTATTTTGGTAAAGGAAACATTTGCTCGTGGGAGGTGAAGATAAGAACTAGGATCATAGAGACAGAGAGGTCGGCTCTGGCTAGACCTCGGAAGGCCTGGCCTTTTGAGGGGGAAGGGCCTAGGGATTAAGGTGAGCAGGATCTAGGGAAAGAATATAAAAGGCTGTCTGGACTTCAAAACAAAACAAGGCCATTAGTAAGAGAGGCTTTAGGAGAGAAAACTGGAATATCTCTGAAATGTGATTAGAAGGGAGTCTTCAGGGCAGATCAGGTTTAAGAGCTGTTGTTTGCCATGTAGTTACAAAGCCTTGCTTTTGGATTTCGCTGCTCTAATCTTTCCTTGGGGCATCAGTCCTCTTTGATACTGTCTTTTAAAGGAGTATTTTGAGACCCTTTACTTAAAAGTCTAGCGGCAGAATTGCTGAAAATGCCTTCAATTGTAGCCTTTGGTGTCCTGTCCTTTGTTAAAATCCCACAATTGGTCATTTGTCATCTAAAGGGGCTGCCGCTCTTCACTGTTCATGCTGTGCTGTGGCACCTGTCCCCCTCCCTCGCCCCCACCGCCGTGGCATACACGTGCACGTACACTAACGCGACATTGCCGTTCTTCTAGACTCGCAGGGACACCTTCATTTTGTGGGTGCACCTGTAAGCCTGAATTTTCTCTAGGGTTTCCATTTGGTAAACTGTGTGATCTCTGCCTTCCCTCTTTGCTTTCCTGATGGCATCAACCAGGACCCTCTTCTTCTGGAGTTAGTTTTATTTTCATATCTTGATTTGCCCATTTTTTTTTTCAGGGGCGTAAAAGTCTGAAGAGCCTCATCAGCTGAGACTGTCTTTCCTGCATATGCCTATACACTCTTTCACGTGCTGGTCCCAGGCGCTGGTGTATTCTCTGTGGTTTGGCCAGTTTTGTTTTCATCCGATGAGTGCAGTTGGTCTAGACCAGAGTAAAACTTAAGGGAAAAGGAAAGGGGAACCTGGCTTAGCGCCAGGTTTCCCTTGTGAGAACACTCCAGAGAGCAGCTGAGTGGGGGCAAGGAAGCCTTCTTGTCTACTGTAATCTCCACGGGGCTTCTGTGGGCACAACTAGACTCCCAGAGAGTTAACAACACACAGAGCTGGTCAGGATAGATGTTCCTGACTCATGCCAATCTCAGATTCATTGTTGAGCCTGACTTCCTCCTGCTTCCTCAAAAGATCTAGAGCTGAGAAAACCTGGATTATCTCTTTTCCCAGAGATCTCTTCCTGAAAGAGAGGGGCCCTCTCCATCTCTACCACCACACCTTCTGTCGAGACGAAGAGGGGCAGGCAGGTGTAAAACAGTGGTAAAATAGGAAATGGCAAGTGGGCACATCTCTTGAGTTCCCGGAAGTACCCCCGAGCCTGCAGGCTGAACACGGAACTGAGGCAAGGGCGAGACAGCTTCTGGATGGGCAGGCTCTGCCTTCCTCTCGAGAATGACAGGGAACATGACACATTCTTGAGTCTCATTAAAAGCCTCCAGGGGCTGGCGCCTGGGTGGCTCAGTCGTTAAGCGTCTGCCTTCGGCTCAGGTCATGGTCTCAGGGTCCTGGGATCGAGTCCCACATCGGGCTCCCTGCTCCGCGGGAGGCCTGCTTCTCCCTCTCCCACTCCCCCTGCTTGTGTTCCTGCTCTCGCTGTCTCTGTCAAATAAATAAAATCTTTTAAAAAAAACGCCTCCAGGGGCGCCTGGGTGGCTCAGTCGTTAAGCGTCTGCCTTCAGCTCAGGTCATGATCCCAGGGTCCTGGGATCGAGCCCCGCATCGGGCTCCCTGCTCAGTGGGAAGCCTGCTTCTCCCTCTCCCACTCCCCCTGCTTGTGTTCTCTCTCTCGCTGTGTCTCTCTCTGTCAAATAAATAAATAAAATCTTAAAAAAAAAAAAAAAGCCTCCAAAACATTCTCGCTTCCCTTCTTTCCTTGAATTAAGAAGTAGCTTCAGTCAGGGAATTCTACCTGAGCTTAATTTCTGTGTTGTTTTATCCTTTCTCCCTCCCCCTCCTCCCGTAAACAGACCTGCGGTGCTAACTGCCTTGTACTTCTCTTCCTGTTTCTCTCCCACAGGAGAGGCCTGAACCCCCCTCATCGCGTCAAGTCTATCTCCATGACAACTTTCACTGAGCCTGAAGTAGTATTCCTGCAATCCCGTGGAAACGAGGTGAGCCACCACCCATGGAATGCCTACTGGCTGTAGTTGCCCTATTGGCCGGGGGAGCTTTGCCTCAAGACTATAGAAAAACCCTACAGCTTTCTTTTTTGGTCGAGTTTCTTTTATTTTTTTAGTATATAGCATATCTTGTCTTATGTATATTTGTATATCTGTGGAATCTTATTTATACAAATTGTGGTTTGTCTAGGCCTTTGTTAGAGGAATGAGGGGAAGGAGCAAAATCTCTGCGGTGGGTGACTCCTGGGCACTCACAGGGAAGACTGCCCCTTGACAGTTAGAGCTCCACATTGCTAGCATTCAGAGTTGACTGGGCCGGCCCCTCAGGAGTAAAATCTCCTGGAGCTAGCTCTACCCACCCGACCCTCAGCACCGTGGGATTAAGCCCATGCCATGTACGCAAACGTGGGTTAAACCCCTTCCCCAGCTAAATCTGTGGGCGGTGGAAGGACACTGTCCTTGGTATTAGCAGTCCTCCTAGCTTGCAGGAATTGGCTTACTTGGAGGGTGCCAATGAAGGAAGGCCTCTGGAGGGTGTTCTGGAAGACACAGCTCTTACAATTGTCCCTGACCCCACCCCCATAGAGATTTAGTTCCCCATAATTCTCATGGCCCTCTTTTTTCTAAGTTGATTCATAATATGTACTTATAAATCTATTTTTACTTACCTAAGGCACGGCCTCCCCATTAGATGGTCAACTCTGTGAAGCCAGGGATTGTGTCTGCTTTGTAGGTATACCCAGACCCTCAGCTGTGTCTCTGCTCAGTAAATATGTATGGACGAATAAACTGGAAGTGGTATCATTCCCATCCCATGCTTTCTGCCTGAACTCCTCTGTTACCTGATTCCATTCCTTTAGGTTTGCAGGAAGATTTGGCTGGGTCTTTTTGATGCTCGGACATCTTTAATACCAGATTCCAGGGATCCTCAGAAAGTGAAGGAGTTTCTCCAGGAAAAATATGAGAAAAAGAGATGGTAAGGAGGAGGAAAGAGATTGCTACGGAGACCCATGTCCCAAGACATTCTTCATCTGACAGTCCAGTGTCTAGACTTGAATTGGGGCTTTTCTCAAAGGCCAGACTTGGGTTGAATGGATTCTACCCAGATTCAGTTAGGGCTCAATTCTGACTTCAGAATTATAGAACTACTGAAAGGACTTGTTCCCAGTCACTAACCCTGCAGATCCGATGCCGCTCTTTTGGAGAGAAATTAGACTGCTTGGAGAGGGGTTGGGCCTGTGGGAGTGTGGGGCAGGTTAAAGCTCAGCTGGGCCCATACATGCAGAGAGGCAGCTGGAAGCACATGTCCCAGAGCTCTGTGCTTTTAACCCATCATTTTTCCACGATTTATGTGTGTTCTCTTTTCCTGGTGACTAGAACAGCATCTCTGCTCTCCCTTGCCTTTTCTCTCCCCAGGTGGCACTTTCTATGGCTTGATCTCAGGGGTGTGTGCATGTTGGGGGGGGTAGCTCTAGGCTGGAGAAGAGAATGCAGACAGCAAGGAGATCGATGTGGACAAAACAGCATTTTGGAGCCCTTCCTGGGGGTGTCCTCCAGAAAAAGAGGATACTTGTGGAGTAGGGACCACATACATACACTGGAGTGGAGGGCATTTTATCAGAAGTCGCAGAAGCTGACAGGATAGACTGTGAGCACTTAGAAGAGGAGGTGGCAGAAACTTTCTGTGGGACTGAAAAGGAGAAACCTGCAGAAACACCTAGAAAAGAAAAAGGAAGTTGGAAAATAGGATCACCTGTCCAGCAGCATTATTGACGGGTTATTACTTGAAATGGGTTGATGTCAGGGCGCCTGGGTGGCTCAGTTGGTTGGGCGACTGCCTTTGGCTCAGGTCATGATCCTGGAGTCCCAGGATCGAGTCCCACATCGGGCTCCCTGCTCGGCGGGGAGGCTGCTTCTCCCTCTGACCCTCTTCCCTCTTGTGCTCTCCATCTCTCATTCTCTCTCTCTCTCAAATAAATAAATAAAATCTTAAAAAAAAAAAAAAAAAGAAATGGGTTGATGTCAGAGAAAGGAGAGAGGAGAGAAAAATAGGCCCAAGTCAGAGCGACGTGAACATTCCCGCAGAAAAGAACGAGCATCTGACAGTAAAGGGGATGCTCAAGATGGGCAGAGCTTTGCTGAGTTACAAAATTCCCTTTAGTTCAAAAAAGAGAATCAGTGGGCAAAGTCCAAGGGACCCGGACTGCCGTCACCTGTGCTTCCCAGGTGCCTACACTGAGCACGGCCCACGGTGTTACCCCCTCTGTTCAGCCTGACTATTCTTTCTCAAAGGTATGTCCCCCCAGATCAAGTCAAGGGGCCTGCTTATACCAAAGGCAGTGCCTCCACCCCGATCCAGGGCTCCGTCCCGGAAGGGAAGCCCCTGCGGACTCTTCTGGGGGATCCTGTGCCGTCTCTCTCAGCTGCTGCCTCCACCTCTAGCCAGGTAACTCTCAGACCTGCCCTTAGAGACTAGTTGGGGATTTGGGAGACAGGGATGTCAGTTTCCTAAATCCAATGCCCCGTACTTAGCAGACGACAGTATAGCTGGTGTGAGTTGGTTCTCGGCCCTGCTGTTACCTATGTCTTGGACTCACCTTGGCCTCCTATCTTTTTGGAAGAAAGAACCCAACAGGAAGTGGTATTTAGGGAAGTCGGAGTATCGACTTCAAACCCGAACATTGCTCCAGGGAAACGCAGGAGGGGCCCAGACACTGCCTTTAGCACCTGGGAAAGATGAGGAAGTAACAGCTCAGGAGCGGGGGGCTCTTGGCAATATCCCTTGTAGCTCAGGGTTACTTTCACCAACGGGCTCTAAAATGTCTGCTTCTGGGAGATGGTGTGCTGAGAAGACAGAGAAGTTAGGTATGAGAGGGGCTCAGGCAGCTGCTGCCCAGGAAATCTCTCAGTTGAGGGCAGTTTCTCCCTCTCTTCTCTCTCCCCTTGCCTATCTGGGGGCAGCCTAGGGAGCCATGCAGGGGCCGGGTCATGTCTGGGACTCCAAGTGCTCTATGTCATGCCTTCTCCTCTCAAGTCTGTCAGTCAGTCTCAGCCTCGGACGTCCCAGCCCCGGAGCTCTCAGCCACCTCCCCACTCCTCAGTCAAGAAAGCCAGTACTGACCTGCTGGCCGACATAGGTGGAGACCCCTTTGCCGCTCCCCAGGTGGCACCAGCTTTCGCTGCATTCCCAGCCTTTGGGGGTAAGTGGGACCTGGGAGGAGAACATTCCACGATGTATTACCCCTGACAGAAGGCCATTCACGCCCCTGGGGTGACCAGTTCCAACCCCCCCCCGCCGTCTCTAGCTCCCATCCCACAAATGAATGTGATGATAATCCTGAAGCATCAAGGTTGGAAGGGCTGGGGTCAAATGAGAGCAGCCTGGATTATGTCTGCAAGTTTGACCAGAAAACATTACAGTCAGGGACTATCCACACTTCCTTTCAGAACACTGGAAATTGCCTTTTTATTACCTTCTTTTTCCGTTAAAATGGGGGTGGGGGGCTTGTCATGTGTTCCATTTCCCCTGCTCTCCTCCCAAAGATCAGCAGCAGCCGGTTGAATAAAATGGTATCTAGTTTCCTTTTTTCCTTTCAAGCCCCTTCCCCCACCAAAAACAACTTTTTTTTTCCCCACATGATTCAGCCCAAAGTAGGCCCTGACAAAAATGAAAATGCCTCATGGAGTAAAGATAAAAGATGGTGGGGAGTGAACCTGGAGGCCTCTGACACTCCCTGTCCCCCAGCGGGTGTCTGGCCTTCTGCCCAGGCCCCTGCCGTCTCTCCCTGAACAGGACCCTGTGGAAAGGCAGTGTCCTATCAGTGGCCTTTGGCCTTCAGAATTAGTGCATATTATATCAATTATATGTCCATTTTATATATTTGACCTTTGCATTCCCTCCATCTATAGGCCAGACACCTTCCCATGGAGGATTTGCCAACTTCGATGCCTTTGGCAGTAGCCCCAGCTCCTCTGCATTTGGAAGCATTCCTCCAGCTGGCCAAGGCCCGTTCCAGGCCCAGCCAACACCCACAGGTAAAGTCTGCCCTGCTCTCTTCTGCTCCCCTTCTCTCTCCCAACTGCGTTCAGTTTCCCACATCCATACATCGCCCTTCATTCACATCTGCACCAACCTAGAGAGCTGGGCAAAGGAGACAGAGAAGGAAGAGAAGCAGGCCCGGGAAAGGGAGAGAGGGGTCTGAGGAGATTCTTGGCAGGAAGAGGCGGCCTCCTGCTCCATTTTGTCATGGAAGGAAAACAGCTCAATTGCAGCAGGAGTTGTGTGGGGTGTGCATAGGAGATCTCTGACCGGCAAGTTGGGGAGACCCCAGTCCTCGAAAAATCAAGAGTGGACGTGACCTTTCCTCTGGAGTGCTCTGATGGTCCGTGTTTTGCACTGCCCAAAGGGCGAGGGCTGGGTCAGAGTCCAGGATAGTCTCTGGAAGTCCTCACTCACCCCTGTTAGAGCAGAACACTGTAAACTCAGTGTTGTGTTGTTTAGCAATTGAGACAACCTCCCCTGCAAAAAGGAGACCCTAAAGGCCGCTGCCGTAAAGCATCTAGTTCCTCCCTGAGTCCCCAGACATCAAGTCTTCATAGCCTTGGGGCTGGTGCTCTACCTTTGTCCGTCCTGGACACACGGGAGGGCAGCCCGAGTGCCCTAAAGACCCGATGTCTGGGGAAAGCCAGTGACTTACGCTCTCTCTTTCTCCCCCCCGCCAACCTCCCCCCCCCCCCCCATTGCCTTTTCCTTCCCCCCCCCCCACCCCCCCCCCCCCCGCCCCGCACCCTTCCCCTTCCCCACCCTCACTGCCAGCCAGTCGGATGCTAACTGGAAGTTACAGCTTTGGTGAGTTATTCTTCCGACTCCACAGCCCACCCAAAGTAGAAGCCTATCTCAGGTCCTCTGAGCCGAGAGCTTTGAGGTCTGGAAGGAACCCTTCAGATGTAGCCGTCTCCCAACAGTTAGGCAGTTTCCCTGTCGTGCAACCCACAACGTGGCAGAGCTCGGCCCAGAGCCCAGATTCCCCGACTCTCGCTCTGCCCACAGCCTTCCCACTGTGCCACCGCGAACTGTCTGTGTGCTTTCCTTTTTATTTTCTTTTTCTTTTTTTTTGAACGGGACAAGGAAGGACATTTTATACTGATAAAAGTTAAAATTCACAAAGAAGTTCTCACGTTACCAACTTCAAGTACCCGACAGGGTAGCCTTGAAAGTCATAAAGCAAAAACTGTTAGGCACAATGAAAATGTAACAGCAACAGAGAGGGGGTGAGACTGGACTCACAAGATTAACAGCAGATAAAGTAGATAGAAAAATAAGGAGGAAAAGAGGCCATTTGAGTAACACTTGAACGAGTTTGACCTAATATATCTAAGTAGAACTTTGTAATCAAAAGACAGGATTTTCAAACACGGAACCCTTTTATAATTTGACCACAGACCAGGAGACACCATATCAATTTCTAACAAATAGAAATTGCTTAGGTCACATTCTATATGATAAAAGGTGTCCCAAAAGATGTCCCATAACAATGTTTCATTGTCCTTGAAGGCCTGAAACAGGGAAAGGATAATTACAATATGGAAAACAGACAAAAAACTAATAGCCATCATGTGTTTTTTTAAAACCCCTATAAATAAGACAGAATAGGATAATAGGCAATGGATACAAGCAGCTAATACCCAGAAAAAAATGATGAAAATGTTCTCAACCTGACTAATCAGGGAAAACACAAATTAAGAGTAAGATAATAACTTCACACACTGTATTCACAAAAGTTTTAAAGATTGGTAATGGCCAGTACTGTGTGGGGAAACTGGCCCTTTTGCATGCTATCAGTAAGAATGTAAGTTGGCACAGGAATATCCAGTGTAGCAAGAGGGAGGTGCTCCGCAGAAGGAGAGCTTGAAAGGAAGCAGCTTGTACGACGTGGTTATAAATTGGTCCGGTCAGAAATGCATGCCTGTTGGGGCCTGGGTGGCTCAGTGAGTTAAGTGCCTGCCTTGGGCTCAGGTTATGGTCCCGGCCACCCGTTGGGCTCCCTGCTCAGCAGGGAGTCTGCTTTTCCCTCTCCTTCTGCTCCTCCCCTCACTCGTGCTCACGCTCTCTCTCTCAAATAATCTAAAAAACAATAGTAAAAGAGAAATGCATGCTTGTCACAATCCCTTGCCTAAAGGGCCAAACTTTAAAGGAGAGAAGGAAGGTGTCAGGAGCCCTCCTTGGCCGAACCTGGGGTGAACTTTTGTCCAGTGTCCGGTCATCTCAAAAAGCAGACTCTGTAGCCAGCCAGAGCCAACCAGCCCTTGTGAGGCTCCTGCCACTGCTAGGAGCATCCTCATATTCTCTCCATGAAGAAGGAAAGATCTCCATTTTGCAGTTGACAAAACTGGCTCCGCTTGGCCAGTGACTTGGCCAAACCCAAATGGCTGATGAATGGCAGCTCCCATTCACTTCCCACCGCACTGGGATCACGAGAGGGTGGTTCTCCGAGTGTGACATAAAGAACTACTGGGGATGAAGTAGGGAGAATTGGGTGAGAGGTGGGTGTCTTTTCTGACAAGCCTGGTTGTATTTTTGTATTTCTGAGGGGGAGCCTGGAGAGGGGAAGTTTCTAAAACTGCAGTTTCCCCTGAAACTGCTAGAAGGCATGTATACCAATCCAGCCGCAGGGAATGGGGCTCTGGAAGTGTAGAAGAAACCAACAAGAGCGCAGGTATTCCTAGGTTCCCCGAGAAGGGCGGAAAGGGTGGAAAGGGCGGGGGGTCGACCCCGCTGTGGCGAGGGCGGGCTCCGCCCTCTAGTGTCCGCCAGGAGACACACAGCCAGGCAGCGGCGGGACAGAAGGACCGCACCTCCCCCAGCCTGGGAGCTCCCTGACCTGACGGAAAGGCCCAGAGCAGGACTGAAGAGTCTGACCTAAGTGAGGACAGGGAGCTGTGTTCACTCAGAAATTCCACATACCCCAAGTCATAGCCCAGGAAAGGCCAGGGGCCCCTGAGAATCAGAAGATTCAACACTAGGCTGCTGGCTTCCAGGCTTCCTGATGGCTGGGGCGTGGAGAGGACAGGCACTCGGGAAGCAGCCCACCCTTGGAACCTCGGCGCCCAGCCAGCCCTGGGCACCTGCCTTCCCTGCTGGACTCCGCTTCTCCAAGTCAGAGCCGAGATGCCTAGCACGGGGCAGATCCCCTTACCGAAGGGCTTTGGATAAATACAGCCTCACCCTTTAGGGAAGGAGGAGCATCAAGCTTCAAATGATCGTTCCGGGATCTTCAGAAAAAAAGCCCCAAACTCAGGAGAAACCAGGCTGAAGTTTGAGGGGACCAGGGAGCAACACAGATTTGAGAACCAGCCTGGCTTGGCCATTCGTCCCTCGCCTTGTGTCTTTATCTTTTCCTTGCCCTTCTTCCTCTCATCTCTGGGCGGGGGGCGGGGCGGGGAATATTTTCTCTTCCCTTGTGACGGTTACCTGCTCATCCTCCCCACCCTCTCTCTACAGGGTTTTTCCCATCAGTTTTCTTAGCTGAGTCTCCCCTCCACTCTGTCCACCTCTGCCACCACATTCCCCCTTCCCCACAAACAGGCTTCAGGTTATCCAGCCTCCAAATGTTTCTGCAGCTCCCCCCAACTCCCCGCTCAGCTGCTGTCCTACCGCCTCGCCATCGCCGTGCCCCTGGGAAGAGGAGCCTGTGGCCTTCACTTACTTTTTTATCATCCTATTTTCTTTCTCTGTCTCTCTCCCTTTTTTTTTTAAAGATTTTATTTATTTATTTGACAGAGAGAGAGAGACAGCGAGAGAGGGAACACAAGCAGGGGGAGTGGGAGAGGGAGAAGCAGGCTTCCCACGGAGCAGGGAGCCCGATGTGGGGGCTCGATCCCAGGACCCTGGGATCATGACCTGAGCCGAAGGCAGACGCTTAACTGACTGAGCCCCCCAGGCGCCCCTCTCTCTTTTTTTTTTTTTAAACACACTTGATGGCATAATAGACATACCGTTCTGTACGTTGATTTACGTTCTAACTGAACAGTATTGCTAGATTTTTTTTTTAATCAGCACATGAAGTGCTTCCTCATTGTTTTTTTATGGCCGCACAATAGTCCTGCTTATGTATATACTATAATTTATTTAATCCATCCCCAGTTGATGACTGTGTAGAACGAATGATGAATATTTAGCCTTTTGCTTACAAACAGCGCTGCTGTGAATCATCCTGCATGTGTCACGTTTTGCACATTTGCAACTGATATCTGTGAGAAACCCGGCAAGGGAGTTGGTCTAGAGGGGGACACAGTTGATAGAAAAACAAAAATATGTCACTACAAAGATGTCAAGTGCCACGAGGGCGAAGAACAAGGTGTTAGGAGAGGAAAACCAGGCTCTAATGCAGACTGAGGCCAGGGCAGGCCCATCTGAAGGTTCTGTTAAAGCCAGAAGGGTGGGCAGGATCGTGGGTGGGGCCTCCTGTACAAGGCAGAGCACGTGGGAAGACTGGAGCTGAGAGTCCAGGCGAGGCTCTCGTTCACTTATGTTTACCACCTGAGCCAACCATCACCTTTCCTTCGAGACCTTGTCTTGTTTCTCTGACCCCGGAAATAGTTTCTTATATCATAGGCTATGATGATAGCTCACATTTATGCACGCTTTACAGACTGCAGAATACTTAACTGAAAATACTTACCTCACCAGAGGTGGGGCGGCGTTGTACAGCCAGCCTATGAGAGGGCAAGCAGAAATATGGGCTCAGGAGAGTAAGATGGTTTGCGCAGGTCACAGCAGTAGCAGGGGGTAGGGCCCTGCCTGGAGTCCAGTCCTTCTCACTCTACCTCTCACATAGTCATTCAGCAAACAACTTCTGAGCACTGGCATGTGGCAGACACCACGCAGAGTGTGTTTCCTTTCGGTATGAGTCTTCCAGCACTCATAAAAATCAAGCCTTTTCCGTTTGTAGTCCCTTTTACCCTCACAACAGCCCAGAGTAGTTGACTGGATCCCACCATAGAGATGAGGCTGAGACACGCAGATAAAGAAGCTTTCTCCAAAGGACAGGGATTTCCTGGACTTGCTCCTCAGGCTGTTTCGTACGCCTCCCACATGGGCTCGCCCTCCGGGCTTTTTCTTTTGAGATCTGATGACCAGAGAGGCCAGAGGAACCCTGATCTAAGCTCCTGGCTTAGGGTGGCCTCCCGAGAGGGGGCAGCTCCGGTGGGAGTGGGAGCTGAGCTATCCGTGCCCCGGTGTGGGCTCCACCTTCCATAAGAGGCTCCCAAGTGTCTGGGCCTTTCTGCCCTCCTCCATTCCCTCTACCTGCCCCTTCCTGGGATTTATCCATAAATGGAAATGCTGGTTTGAGGAAAGGACAGACATTTCCACGTCTTGAGGAAAAAATGGGAACTGTTAGACTAGAGCAGGAGGGACACTGACCTGACGCCAGGGCAGGCTGCTTTCTCTCAGCAGCAGCAGCTTTGAGCACTAAGGAGATTGACAAAGGCTGAGTACCATGTTACCTAGAATTCTTGGCGGGAGTCAAGGCCCTCTGAACCGGACGACCCAGGGGGAAATGGGCTCAGAGAACCCAGTGGGTACACTCATGCCATCACTCTGCTCCATCTCCCCTGCCCCCCCCCACCTCCATCTCTTTTTCTACCCCTTCCCTACTGCCTCACCCCAGCACTCCCTGTTCTGTTTCCTGTGACTGCCCAGGGAGCAGCCAGGTGACTCCATTTGCGGCCTCTCCTCTCGCACCTGCCAGTCAGCCCAACAGCGTCGCAGATATGGGTAGCCTCCTGGCGCCCGGAGCATCACCTGGAGGTATCCCCAGCAGGTACGTCCAGACGTCCGGGAATCTGCCTTGGGGTCGCAGAGCCTTGCTTCCCCAGCCTGCTCAGCTCCTCCTGTCGGGCAGGACAAGGCTTGCCATCTCCTCGTCCCTTGCATTGCTTCTCCCCTTGATCCCGGTTGCCCTGAAGCTGACTTCTCTTCCCACATCACAGCATCTTCGGGGTGGCCGGCCAGGTCCCCACGCTCCAGTCGGCCCCGGCTGGTGGAGGCGGCAGCACGGGGCTTGCCTTTGGAGGTGAGTCTTGCCTGTGGAGACCCAGGGAGGAGATCCAAGGCCAAGAGGAACCTGGGGACTCTGCAGGGAGGGGAGGGGAGGAAGAGCAAGACAGAGGAATGCTGTCATCCGAGTATTAACCAGATGAGAAAGGAGTAACTCTCTCTTTCCCCCACCGCTACCCCGTTCCGCCCTGAGCAGCCTTCACCAACCCTTTCACAGTCCCTGCCGCTCACCCTCGGCTGCCTTCCACCAACCCGTTCCAGCCCAACGGCCTGGCCACAGGTAAGCCTCCAGACTCTGCCCTGGCCCTGACTCTCCAGGGCGCAAATTCCTCTCTGCCTCCTCCTCTCTTTCCCTTCTCTCTCCCTCTGTCTCTCTCCACGTCTCTCTCTCACACACACACACCACTGTCAGGAGGAGTGGCAGACAGCCTCAGTCCTCCTCTCTTCACCGGGCCAGACCAGCTGGAATTTCCAGGCCGCCTAGTGGGCAAAGACTAGAAGCACCCAAGTCCCAGAATCAGAATTTCGGAATTACGAAAAGCAGACTACTACTGACCGAGCCGATTCGGCGACTGACGTGGCAGCGACTCTCCCTTCTTGCCCCTCGGCAGTGCGCGCCCCCTCCCGTGTCCCACCTGCAGCCTTGCCCCTGGTCCCTGCTCTCACCAGCCGGAGTGTTGTGATCTCCTCGCTCCCTATTCCTCCGCAGCCTCAGCTCTTCTCTCTTCAGAGGCATGCTCTCCCCCGCCCCCACCCCTGCCTTTGTTGTTGTTGTTGTTGTTGTTCTTAAAAACCTTGAGGCCGGGAGGAGAGACTGGTAGCGGCTAGCACCACTGCTAGCACCACTGACCGCTGACCAGTGTGGCAAACCCCACTGCTGAGAGCTTGCAGCCCTGATTTGCTTTGCCCAGCAGCCCTAGGAAAGGGGCCCGGCCCACTTTTAGAGATGAGACCACTGAGGCACATACATAGAGGGCTAATACCGTGCTTTCATTGGTGCAGGTTCATAGAAGCAGGCAGCTGACCCCAGTTCTGGGCCACGCCCCTGCTTGGCACCGCTGTGCCCTCCGTGCCACAGGCCACCGTGGACAGGAAGAGGGCAGGTTCGCTAGGTTGCATGGAAGCTGAAGACTTCCATGGCTCACTCAGGGTACTTTTACTGGGTACCTCTGGTTAGGGTCACACTCTACCCCATGTCCCTATCATGGAGAGATCTAGGAAGAACTGTTCTCCAGCCTGCCTTCCAGAACCTCGCCTGAACTTCATGTCCTCGTTCTACAGGGCCCAGCTTTGGGATGAGCAGTGCGGGGCCTGGCTTCCCCCAGACAGTGCCACCCACCAGGGCCTTTGTCAGCACCTTCCCACCGCCACTGTTCCCCCCACAGACCTCGATGACTCAGCAGCAGAATGGTGAGGGATTCAGACCACACCCTCCTTTCTGACCCCCCATTCCCCACCCCCAGGGCCTGCGGGGATGCAGGGGGTGGCAATGAATATTAGGACTATTAGGGAGCCAGACATCTGAGCTAGTTCCCTTTTGGACCAGTAGGGGGGGCCGGAGAAGCCACAGACCTGCGTGTGTTCTGTGACTCTGCTCCATACCCTTATTCCCCGACTTTATTTTTTTATTATTATTTTTTTTAATCCCCGACTTTAGAAAGGTCCGTTCTTGCTGCCGCTGTAGGATGGAGCGGTCCCTGCCCTGCAGGGAGGCCCAACGGAGTGGTCAGCATCAGCATGAGGGGAGGGCTTATGTCAGCTGAGTTTCTGCTCTTGCTTCCAGGTTCTTCCTTCAGCGACTTAGGATCAGCCAAGTTGGGGCAGAGGCAACTGAGCCAGCCAGCTGGGACCTCTACCAACCCCTTCATGGTGAGTGCGGGTATGGCCTCTCTCTGGGGGTCGGGGACAGAATCCTTCGAGGAGAACGGCAATGTGGGCCGGAAGCTGTGCCCCTCCCTCGTGAAGCCCTGCCTTGGCCACACAGGGGTGAGTGGGTTAGTCAGTGGGCCCTGTTGTCTCCCACACTCCCCCGCCCCCTACTTGCCTCAGCCCACTGACTTTCCCACAACCCTCAGCACAGTAATTCTGGGGGAGAAAGGAATCCTGGACTGCATCTTTTCTCTGGCCTCCAGCTCTTCTCCCCTAATCCCCTAATTTGTGGTTGTTTCTTTCCAGACTGGATCCTCATCAAGCCCGTTTGCCTCCAAACCTCCAACCACCAACCCATTCTTGTAGCACTTTGTCCTGGGGGGGGGCTCTTCCCTGCCCTCTGGGGCCCCTCTACTCCCAGGAGCTCTGGTGACCATTTGCCTGTGGCATTTCTGTGGGTCTGAGACCAGAATGGGCTTTGTTTTGTAGGGAAGGGCTCTTTGGGGATGGTGGAGATGCTAATGCTTTGCTTGGGGCTTGCAGATAAAAGGGCAGCTTCCTGGATCAGTGCCCCCAAGGCTTCCTCCCATCCTCCCTCCAGCCCCTACCCAGGCAGGAGACCCAGGAGGAGAGAAGGCAGGGCGTGGCCTAGAGGAGTGATGGTGTTTGATTTCTCAAATTATCAACTATAATGACAATAATTCTCCTCTCCTGCCCTCAGCATACATAGTGGTCCCTTCACTCCCAACCGTGTGGGCAGAGGAAGCTGTGGGCACAGACTGACCCACATTCCCCTGTGGGAGCAAGCCTTCCCCCATCCCCAATTTTCCAACACTGGTCTCCTTGTGGACAGAAGCACAGTGGGAAAATTAGGGTCAGGGTGGAGTTGAGGCATGGTGTTGACCTGGGACAGTGATCAGACAAGCTGAGAAGGCTGAGGAGGGGCTGGGGGGGCGCTTGGGCCAGCATCCCCCTTTTCTTCCCACCCCTACCAGGGCAGAAGGCCCTCCATGGTTTTGCTTCCCCAGCTCCCTCCCTCATCCTGGGTACTCAGGATGAATAATAGTTTTACCTACATACTTAGACATGCCCAACTCCTGTCAAGCACTTTAGTTTGCTGTGGTGTCATGTTTGGATACCAGCGTTTTATATTTATACATAGAGAATTTTCTAATATAGCCTATTATATATACACACACACGTGCACACAGAGATATATATATACACATGCCGCCATTCTCCTGCTCCCAGACAGCTCTTTCACATGGGGAATGGAATGGATCCCCATCTGTGCCTCGACCAGCAAAGCCGGAGCTCCAGAGGGTGGTGGGGAGGGCAGTCACAAGTCCTGACCACCCCAGAGCCTGGGCTTTTCCAGGGAAAGGCTTTGTGCAATTGGCTGGTTTTTTCCTTTCTTTTTCCCCATGTGCCTCCCCCACCCCCCAAAATCTCTGCACCAAAGCTGTTGCAGGCAATGTTGGAAAAGAACTGCATTTGAAAGAAAAAGGAAATGGCTCTCGTGGTCTCACTTTGGGTTAGTTCCAGGGACCCCAGCGTGACTGACGGGTCAGTGAAGATGATGATGCTGTTGGCCAAGGACAGGAATTCCTTGCCGGCCATGTTAGCAGTGGGAGCCAGTGCAGTGGGAGTTAGGTGGCTGCAGTGAGGGGGTGACTCCCCCGGGGGTGCCAGTGACACTCCAAGATGGAGATGGTGGGACCTGAGTACAGGACTAGACCGCTCCCAGCCCGGTGCATCCTTGGCCCCTCCCCAGACTGTTTTTACCTGAGGATGTTGTGTCAACAGCCATGGTGTCTGGGCTGTTTGTGTGGTGACAAGGTGGCCAGTGTGGGTTAAACACCTCACGTGGCAGAGGAGAGGCCCAGCGTTCAGCCTTGCTATCGAGAGACGTTCCTCCCTTTTCCACATTGCGCAGGGACTCTGGCCCTTCAGCTGTTCATTCCTGGGATTCTCTGGGTCTTTCCGCCCAATGACCTTTAACAGCAGAACAGCAAGGAGAGGTGGGGACTGTATTATCACTTTATTTACCTTGAGGACTTCTCTAGAAATATTTCTAGCTGCTGCTGTTTGCCCAGCCAGGCGTGGCCTCCCCACCTTTGCAAGGCTCAGAACCCATCCTGTCTTAGGTCTGTGTTTCCATGCTCCCGGCCCCTCCCCTCCTTCCACCACCTGGTGGATCTCCTAGGGTGGACCACCATCCCTGGGTTTTTCACGTTCTGTCCCCTTCTCCCAGTATTTGTCTCTGTCACACTTGATTACCTCTCTGTCCCCGTCCCTGTCTGTGTTTCCCATTTTCTCTGCTTAGAACCAGGAAGGGGAGGAAGCTGGCCTGTTGTGTAGGAGGAGAAGGAGCCTTTTCTTATTTTTCCCCAGCCACCCCCAACTCCCTTCCCTAACCAAAAGCACTGAGGTTTGGAGGTGAAATTGCAAGGGCCCTTGCTGTGAGTTTCAGTCACACTCCTGCTGTTTCCCAAGGATCTCCTTACTGCTCGGTGCGGTCCCCCTCCCTGCACCCCAGGGCACTCTGTCCAACCTGGACTCTCGCCAGCTTGCTGGCCAGGGCAGGATGACCAATCAGAGGAGTTACACTGGGTCGGCCTCCAACTCCAGGACAGAAAACCCGAGTTCCCTGGGCACAGGCCAAGGCGAGGATCGCAGCTGCCAATCCCAGCATGGAGCAGCCACAGGGCCGCCTCCGTGGGGCCTCCCGTATCCAGGCGAGCAGCAAAGAATGGGAAAATCCCTGGCCTCCTAGAAAATGTCTACATGACTGGGCTGTGTTCCCTCTTACCTCGCCCCCAGCATGTCGTTGCACGGCCCTGTCCGGTGGTTACACATCTGACCCCGGCTGCAGACAAACCGTGGGGCCACAGGCACGCTATGGAGCTCGCCCAGGCTCCCACTGGGCTTCCGACCAAGCGGCCAATGCTGTGGCCATGCTCTGCAGATGGAGAGTCCTCTGGCTTGGCCCCAGCCTTCAGCAGGTCACCTGCCCCAGTGGGTGAGAACGCAGGAGCCAGTCCCCAGGACGGCCATGAAGAACTCCATTCCCTCCACATTGGAGCCTGGGAGCCGTGGCGGGGGCAGGGGTGTTGGTGAAGGAAAGAGATGGAGGCTGTCCCTGCATCCCCCTCCACAGATTGGGGAGAACTCCAGATGGAGGAGGGAGGGGCTGACAGGAACAGCCTTAGTACCCCAGCCTCCTCCCCGTAGGCTCCTGTCACTGGTAACAAGATTCTTCCATAGGGATTTAGAATGGGGAGATTCCATCCCACGGCTACCCTGCACCCAACAGAGGGATGCACAGGGAGACCCCTCGGGTTGGGGGAGGTGTTCTCACCCAGCAGAGCTGAGGTTCTGCCACTTCCTGTCCCTGGGGAGCAGCTGGAGTTACCAGGGCAACAGGCTAAAATAGATCTCATCTGGGTAGGGCCAAGGGCAACATTGTTACTAGGGCAACTGATTAGGCCAGTTGTTTGGCTCCAGCTTTTTCCTGGTACCCTGCACACTTAATCACCTGGCGCTGATTGCCAACCCACTGTGCCGCTGCTGCCTGCCCAGAGCCCAGGTACTCAGATCCCGGCTCCTTCCTGCTCCGTCCGTACCCAGCTCTTCGGGGTTCAGTTACACAAGGTCTCTGAGGCAGGAGCTGGTCTCTCTGAGGCAGCCGTGATTTCATGAGGATTGGGGTGCTGCATGGTGGCCTGGTTGATGGGGATTGGGAAGGAGTAAGGATGAAGAGCCCCTCCTGTGGGTAGCTTCAAATCAAACCTGGAGAGGAAGGCTCCAGGCCAGGAGCACAGCCGAGCAGCACCAAGCCTGGGAAGGGGAGGGGCCTGCAGATCTCTTGCTCGCTCCTTTGCACACTGTACATCTGTCGAGACCACACTGGAGGCAGTGGCCTTGAACATACTTCTGTTTTGGTGGCCCCTTATAGACCTATCACATACCTGCCTCTCCCTGGCCAATACCCACCAAGAGCAGAGGCTGCCACTGGCCCCGGGGCATGCATGAGCTGCCAACACCTCCCCCACACCTTGGGAAGCTATGGCTGACCCGGATGCACCTGGGGGGGGGCCCTGGGCACCACCTGCCTACTAGCCAGACGCCCATCCTCACCATGCTGGTTGGTTCCATGCATCTCACTCTCAACATGACCCTTGAAAAGATGTTCGAGGACCCTAGCTTGCACGCACACTGCACCACTGGCTTCCCCGGTATTCCAGAAGAGTCCCTTCCTCACAGGCCTGGGAAATGGAGAAGCGTAGGTGGGAAGGCCAGCCTTCCCAGCTCAGGCTGTCGTGGCCTTTGGATGGGTCTGAGGCAGAGAACAGGCTTCCCTGGCTTCAGTACTCTTGTTATATCTCCTCCCCCGCCCCCATATGCCATCTTTAACAGGGTCCTCGGTTGCCCACTTCCCCTCCTCAACCCTCGCCCCCCTCCCCCTGCTTTAGCTCTTACTTGCCACGACAGTGATAGCACAAGGTCCTCTGAGGCTCCCACCCATGCGTCAATGCCTGGTGTGTCTTGCAGAGTGTGCGGTGACCAGTGCCATCCCCCCCAGCAGGAGTCTGTGGTGTAAGAGGGGTGTAAAATGTCTGAATCCCAAACCTATCTCAAAATCTTAGGATGTAAGAGGCAAGGGGTACGTCCGCCAGAGAGTCTGCACCTCTAATCAGAGCCTTTTTGGACAGTGGTGGTGAGAAGGGGCTGAGGGCAGTGGCAGGGAAGTGCCCCTGAGAGATGGTTTTGTCACAGGTTCTCCTTCAGTGGCCTCTTGACTGGAATTCTGGTGGCTAACTTTATCTGAAGAGCCCTCCTATCACCCTCAACCCAGAGAGAACCCGAACCTCCAGCTCTTCTGAAATCAGCACAGCCCAATGCTTGGTGGCCCTGGCAACTAGGCTGGCTTGGGAAGGAAGAGTAGAGAACCACTGGGGGGAAGGGGGCTGGGAACACAGGTGCTGGACGCCTAGAGTGGGAAGTGGCGCCGCTGTAAGGGCCGTCCCCTAATCGCCAGGACTGCGCACTCCCGACCCAGTTCCACTCACGTTGGCCTCACTTCACTGCTCCCTTAGCAGTCAGCTCAGATCCGTGGAGACGCCCACACACTCCCCGCCCCTGCGATCCCAGCCCAAGGGTGTTTGGGGTGGGGAGGAGGCCTCCTCTCCCAGACTTCCCCATCAGACTTCACTCCCACGGCCCGACGTCCAGCGCCCGGGGCGCGCAAAGGGTTAACCCCGCGGGGGTGGGGACTCTGCAGCAGTCGGCAGAGGCAGAGGGAGGGAGGGGGCAGGAGGCGATCGGAGGCGCGGGGAGCCGGCCGGGGTCGAGCCTCGGAGGAGGCCGCTGGAGCCCCGCGTGTCGCCGGCCACCGGGTAGTCACTGGGGCACACGCGGCGCGCAGCGAGGGGCCACCGCGGACCCTCTGCCCCAAACTTCAAGTCCGGAGCAGGGGTGAGACGCTGGGCATCAAGACGGGTGGCAACCTGTCAGGACGCTGTCCCCCTCCCCGGAAACCGCCGCCCCCACCCCCCCTCTGCTGAGTCTCAGCCCCTACTCTGGCCACTACATTGCCTTTGGCCCGGGATGAAGCCCGGAGGCGGTGGCCCCCCGGCGGCCCCGGAGTCCGAGCCGGCTGGCCTGCCCCTGGTTCTGCCGCGGCCCTGGGGCTGTCCCGCTGACGTGCGGCTCTGCGGCCACCTGCGCAAGCAGAAGTCCCAGCGCCGCCGCTTCTTCGTGCTCCGCGCCGACCCGCCGCGCCTCGAGTGCTACGAGAGCGAGAAAAAGTTCCGCGCCGGCCAAGCGCCGCCCAAGCTCAGCGCGAGCCTGGCGGGTGCGTGCACCATCAGCAAGCGCGTGGACGCGCGCCAGCGCCACCTGATCGTCCTCTACACGCGCGACCGCAGCCTGGGCGTGGCGGCGGCCTGCGAAGCGGAGCAGCAGGCGTGGCACAACGCCCTGCTCGAGGCGCGCGCGGCCGCCGGTGAGGCCTGAGCCCCGGGCTGCCCGGAGCCGGAGCCGGGGCCGGGGAAGGGGGTGGGGGGCGGGAGCCGGGGCTTGGGTGATCGCGAGTTTAGTTTATCGTGGGTTGTCCCTCCCCGTAAGTCTCTGAAATCAAGTTCAAACATGAGGCGTTTACACGTGTTTAGTTCTCACGGCACAGTGACTCCAACCCCCCGGCCCAGGAGCCCCCTGTGACCAGCCCTGTCTCTTCAGGTCCCAGCTTCCACGAGGACCCCGCCGCCTGGATTCTCGCTCCATTTCAGGACGTCTGGTCCGTGACACTGCGGCCCAAGGGACTGGGGCGAACACGAGGCCTGGGCAGCGGCGGCTACCGCCTGTGCCTGGGTTCGGGGGTGCTGTGCCTGCTGCGGAAGCCCAAGGGCAGAGGCTCTGGGGACACCCAGGCTTCGTCGCCGCCGCCGCCCGCCCTGCGCCTGTCCCTGCTCAGTGTGCGCCGCTGCGGCCACGCAGACTCTTTCTTCTTCCTGGAGCTCGGCCGCTCGGCGCCCACGGGTCCCGGGGAGCTGTGGCTACAGGCCCCCGATGCTGTGGTGGCCCAAAGCATTCACGAGACCGTGCTGGCCGCCATGAAGCGACTCGGGGATGGCATCGCCGGTGGCAGGGCTGAGCCACTGCCAAGGGATCCCCCGACGAGCGCTTACAGACCCTCCACCTCCCAACCTTATGCGACCCTGGCCTCGGCAGCCCAGTCAAGTGGCCCGAGCCATTGCAGGGGCCTGAGGGAGAGAAGGGGGAAAGCAACCCTCCAGACGCTGGCTACCGCAGCCTCGCAGCCCGAGGGCTTGGAGCGGGGAGGGGGCTACATAGCCATGGGAGCCCAGAGCGACTATGAGCCCATGGGGGTTGGCGAAGCAGGTGGCTACATGGTGATGGCACCCCCTCGCCTTGCGGCCTCTGCCCCTGCAGCTCCCCACCACCCGCTCCAAGGTTGCGGGGGCAGCGAATACGTGCCCATGAGCCGCCTTCTGCCAGGGTCCTTGCCCTCGAGCTCCCTGCCCCGTTCCTATAAGCTCGGGGCCGGGGAGCCTGGACCTTCCTTCCAGGGCCCCCGCCGCAGCATCGGGGAACGTTGGGGACCAGCAGGGGCTCATTCCTCCTTGCAGCCGCCCTCAAAGCTAGCAGGGGAGTACGTGTGCATCAAGTACGTGGCCCCGGACTACTTAGGAACGGGCAGTGCCATACAAGAAGTCCCCAACAGCCACCTCAACTACGTGGACCTGGACCTGATCCCTCCGCTGGAGGCTCGAGGTGACGCCCCCGGGTCCATCAGGAACCGCCAGCACAGCTATGCCTGCATCGAGTTCCAGAACCTCAGAGAAGCTCCGGTGAGGAGATGTGGGCAGTCCTGCCCTGTCTAGCTGAGGGATGGATGGGGAGGAGGGGAGAAAACAGGGCAGAGTTATGAATGCCTTCCCCGACAGCTCGCAGGCCCCCTAGGACCTGCAACTTGCAGAAGCTGTGAGTTGCCCCCTTAGGGCCTGCAGCCCACTCCACCCCTTCCAGATGTGGTACCTGGAAATTCTTCAGGAAAGGCTCCCCAAGAAGCTGGATTCTTTTAAGGGAGAAAATTCTAGAACCACCCTCCCCTCTTCCCACCCACAAACCCCTACGAACGCCAGGCTTCCTCAGCCAAAGCCCCGATCCTTTCTTTCCTGGCAGAGTTCCCACAGCATCACGCCAGAGTCTCAGGTCAGCCTTGGCCCCTGACCCTGCCTCCAATGACTTGTCCCACATGGACCTGCTCCTCCCCACCCCGCACCTGCAGGGCCTGCCTTGTGTTTCCTCCCGGCCTGAGGACCAGTTCCCCGCCCCAGGGCGCCAGAGCAAGAGGGCTGAAGTACCAGGTATCTTACCTCTACTTCTTCCCGAAAGTGCTGTGCCGCTCCGTTCCTAATTTCCCTCTTCCAGTGCCAGCCATGTGTTCACACAATCCTCCCTTCTCTGGAGCCTGGTGGAGTTGATGGACTTCTTGCTTCCATATGTTTGTCTTCCACATACTGTACTGTGGACCCGCACCCCCACCCCATGCCCTATTAAAGTGGTCCTGCTTGGTCAGTCTGGAAAGGTCGTAGGTCCATGGGTTCCCCTGCCCCGGTGCAGGCGTGACCACTGAGTTAACAAAAATTTGAGGGGAGGACAGCCTAAGCCACGTAGAAGAAGAGACCCCATCCCTGTCTCCATGCCCCACTCTGCTACTCATTTGCTACAAGAAGCCTGTTTGCAAACCAAAACACTGCTTTATTGTCAACAGAACCTGCCTGGGGGAGTAGGGGATCCCACTCAACCCACAAAAGAGCTATCTACGTTCAACGGGCGTCTGGGGTTCGTGGGACAGATGGGTCAGTGCAATGAGAACAGCTGGGGCTGCCGCTGGGGCCTGGGTGATCAGATGCAGGGTCTGGGGGGCCAGCAGGGGGCATGGGAGCCCCCGGGGAGGCAGGTCTCGGAGCCCCCTGGCTCATCTGCAGGAGGCCAGTGAGGGCGATCAGCTCAGGCCCACTGAGCCAGGCAGTGGAGCAGCCCGGGGATGGGGTGCGGAGGACCCAGGGAGACATGACAGGAGGTGGGAGCAGCAGCTTCAGAGAGCCCGTGACCTGAGGAGAGAGAAGGGAGAAGTGGTCTCCTCCCAAGCCCTGCAGGAGGACTAGCGCGAGGCCAGGGCAGGAACTGCACTCACCTGCTGAGAGGCCTCCGACAGGTACAGGGGGATACGCTGCCCACAGGGCAGCAGCGGGTCTGACAGAAAGACAGCTTCACGGCACAGCACCGGGAACCCTGGAGAAGAGAAGCTGGTAGGGCAGCAGGCTGCGGTTCCCACACCAGCGAGGGCCGCACTGGTTCCCGGACGAGCTCATGCAGGGCACCTCCAGCGCCGGAGGGTGGGGGTGGGGGGTGGCCAAGCAAAGTACCTGCATGCCTGGGCGCATGCTCTCCGTTCTGATACCCTGTGGCTGGGGCCAGGGGCCTGAGGTCCCGGCCTGGGGCTGCCTCACACAGCGGCCAGAATGAGGGATGACACAAGGTCCGGCCTGAGAAGGAGGCGCCTGACGAACAGCTGGGCCCCTGTGGAAGGGGCAGGAAAGATCGCTGGGGCTTCGGTCCCCTCCCAGGGCACCCCTGCCCCATCCCAAGGCCAGAGCCGGAGATACTCCCAACTCACCCACACCAGCCGAGGTCCTGCTTTAGCTTTGTAGCGGGGGTCCCACGGGGCTAGCACGGTCATCCTTGAGGGGGCCACCTCCCAGGCCATGTCGGGGGGAAGGGCGACTGGGGGAGGGAACACTCGAAGAGATTAAAACAGGCCCAGGAGTCGGTGGAAAGGTGTCTAGGTTGGGGGGGGGGCGGGGTAGAGGCAGCGAGGCCTGCACCTACCTGGGGCTCCCGGGGACTGCACGGCAGCCAGGCCTGGGGGGGCCCAGGGCAGCAGCTGCTCTCTCCGGGTCCGGGAAGGCCTTCGGGAGCGGGGCTGCGGGCTGGGAGGGGGACGTACTGAGCTGCAGCCCTCACAGCCCCCCCCCCTCGGTTATTTCTGAGGCAGGGCCACGGGTGCCTGGGGCAGGGAGTCTCAGCACACCCGTTCCTCAACGTGGGCGACTGAGATTTCCTCACACGGTGGGCCCCCTCACCTGTCCTGTGGGGGAGTCCCTGGCTGCCCCAGTGCTTCCTCTCCAGAGGTCCATGCCCCGCCGGGGTCACCGCCCGCCGAGGGGCCTTGTTCCATGGGCGCCTGCTCTTTGCCCGCGTCCCACAGCCGAGGCGGCCGGGGTAACACGCCGCGTCTGGGGGAGGGGAGGGCAGCGCCGGGCAGCACCTCTGCGCCCCGCGTCCGCGCCGTCCACGCCCTCCGCGCCTCCCACCTCGCCCCTCGCGGCCCCACGCGGCCCCTCGCGGCCCCCACCTCCCGCAGCGGCCCGCCCTCTCGCCCCACGAGCCCACGTCGCCGGCCCACCTCTCAGGGCCTCGCGACCACGGCACCGCCCAGCGCGCTTCCGGGCCACGTGGCGCGCGCTCCCGCCGGGGTCTCGCGGGCGCCCCCTGGCGGCGGGGTTGGCGGGGTCCGCGCGCCGCCGGCCGTCCCACACGGAGGAGTGGCGCCCCGCCGCGGCCAGCTGCAGAACCCCGGCGCGGACGTGGAGGCGCCTCCTTCCCCGCGACGCACCGCATTCATCCGCAGACCGACACACACTAACACACCCCGAAGGGCAGCCTGGAGGGCCCGGCTTCTTCTTTATTGCACTTGACACAACATCCGCCGCCCGTCTTCTACCCCAGACCCTTGGCCACACCCAGATGCGGCCAGGCGCCTCGCCGGGGCCGGCCGGCTTCCAACCCCTCGGGCGGGCGGAGGGGCGCCCAAGGAACAGGGCCAAGCCCGAGGCCGCCCTCACCAGAGTCCTTGCTAGGGAGCAGAGGCCGGGCGCGGCTGTCTTCTCTGTTCCTGGGCTCCCGGCCCGGGTCGGAGCCCTGCGCCCCGACCTGGACCTCTATGGCCGTTCCAGCAGTGCGTGGACGACAGCAGCGATGTAGGTGAGGCCCCTTCCCGGGGCCCCCTCCTCTTCCAAGATGTGGTGGGGCTGGCACAGGGACTCCTGGGGGGAGGGGCCCAGGTTAAGTTCCCCATGTCACCTTGTTCTCTGGCTTCCCTGCCCTTCTCAGAGGGCAGGGTGGGAGAAACCCTAAAGAAGCCTGGGCAAACAGGGCTGACAGGATGGCCCTTCGGGTGGAGGTGGCAAAGGTCAGGGGCACCCCGGACACGGCTTGGGGGCAAAGGAGAGGCAAGGAAGCTGCCAGCAGGTAACAGAAGGGCGATGACACAGGGGACCAAGGCTCAGGGGAGGAGAGACCTGTCATTTCCAGAGGGAAATGCTGGAACAGGCAGGGTGACAAATAGAGCCTCAGGGGCGCGGCCAGGGCTGGGCCTGGCCACAGCAGGAGCAGACGCAAACACACACACACACACATACACACACACACAGAGGCGGCCACGGTCTGTACAATTTATACACAGAGACAGGGACCCAGCCTGGGCCCCTGCATCCTCTACAAATATAGAGTTCTCTCTACAAAATATAGATAATTTAGCTCCCCATAACAGTGGGGGGACGGTGGGGGGACGGCACAAGGAGGAGGGTGGAGATCTACCCTCTGAAGGAGCAGGGCCTGGAGGGAATGAAGGCACCATCAGCACTGAGAAGCGAGGGAAGGGAAGGGGCTACAGGAGGGTGGCCAGAGGCTGGGGGCCCAGGGTCTGGGTGCACCAGAGTGGGGCCTCTGAGGTCAGTGTTTGTGAGGGGAGGGGGTTCACTAGTGTCTTTGGTAGGGGCTGAAGGCACCACTGGTAGGGATGGGGGTCGCAAAGGAGTCATAAATAGAAATAGGGCAATGGGGGCGGGGAGAAAGGGTGACTTCAGGTCCTAGGAACCCAGGAGCCGAGTGTAGACGACATAGAGCAGCAGCATGAGGGCCACGTAGAAGAAGATGAAGCCGCCCAGACCAGAGGGGGGCCAGAGGGGCGGGGGGGCCCTGCCCCCCACCCGCTTCACAGCCTCCAGGGTGGTCCACAGCCCCTGGGCGGTGCCCTGGAGGAGGTCCGAGGGCGAGCACAGGTCAGCCTGGGAAGGGAGAGTAGGGACAGATGGACAAGGACAAAGAGCAGACGTCAGCAGCAGCAGCGAGACAGTCCTTCCCACCCCCTGCCCTCACGTGCCAGGGCCTGAGCCGCGCCAACATGCGCAGTGCAGGGAAGGGAGGCATGCAGGGCAGGGAGACGTGCAGGGCAGGGACTTGCGGACATGCTTCCTTCTGGGGAGTAGACACCCCTGTGAATGGAACCCTGCCACCCGTGCGGAGTGCTCAGCTGAGCCCAGGACGTCGCCACTCTTTATAGTAGGGACCAGCCCTGGGCTCCCGAGAACACACCCCCCCCATACCTCAGGTACCCCCATTTTTCGACAGGCTTCTAAGAAACTCTCCACATTTTTCCGAGACTTGAGAGCACTAAGTTTTGGCTGGGGGAGGGCGAGAAAGGAAAAAGAGAAGAGAGTAAGGGCGAGGCCCCGGCAGTCCTCTGTTCCATCCCCTGCCTCCCGCCCTGGGACCCAACTGACCACGGCAGGTGAGGGCACGTGGATGAAGGGCACGGAGCGGGGCCGCAGCTGGTTGGCCAGCTGACACAGGATGACCCCATTGGCCAGAGCCTCCGCCAGGTCCTCGGGCAGGGGCCGCTGCAGCCTTGACTCGAGGACCTGGGAGGCAGGAGGGTGGGGGCAGGGCGAGGGGTCGGTGGGGACTCCTGCCCGCCCCTTGTGTCCTCAGTGGAAGCACCCACAGGATGCGGCGGGAAGCCAGGAAACTCGAG